CCATCCATTGTTTCGGTCATGAGACGGTCGAGGCTTGTGCTCATGATCATGTCGCCGACATGGACGTCCAGTAGAATTTGCTCCGATGCCTTCTGGCGGCTCTTCGCTTAATTATAATCGATTACGATGGACTTCTGAGCGTCTTCCAATGTGGCCTCATCATCAGTTCCTTCCATCGAATATTGGTATTTCTCCCCTCTATGTATGCGACGTTTTCCTTCTACGAGGTTTGTGTATTTCAAGCTACAAAATCTAGAAACCGTCAACTCCTCCGGAATAAGCGATTAGTATTCCCAGAGCAGTAAACTAGGGAAAGAGAACTACTATTCTAGGGCTTCAATTTCTACTTAAGCGATTGATCAAAACATTGCCGATTTGAAGGAATAGGCTTGGGGACTCCACTACAGAGACCGGATATATTTTTTTATTTCACGAGATAAGATCCAAGGCTCTTCGTCACGGCGCGCTCGGGGCGGCAATCCTGTGATCTCAACATCCCGTGAATGCACAGTTGCTGTGAGCTGTAGTTCGATTAGGCTCGCGCTCCTCCTCGTAATAATTGACAAAGGCTTCGGCTGCAGAATCGAGGATCCACATCGCAAATGAGTCTAGACATTCAGCCAGGGTCGTTATGAGTCTGATTCCAACCTCATATCACCACTCAAACGGAGAGCAGCTGAGTATCAGCAATCAGCACCAACACAGTGAATGAGGTAAAGCTGCGAATGCGGAGTGAAGAGATCGACGAAAAGGTAGAAGAGCCATTGTCTCCAAAGCACGCGAGAGACATGCGGGATAGAAGGTCAACGATCAATTCGCTCAGGTCGCTTCAGAGATGATGCATGAGGCGAAATATAGGCCGCGAGTTGGATTGAAGGTTCGAATCTCTGAAGTAGCGAGGCGAGTAGGAGGATGGTCACGTTTTGCGAATTTTTCCTCCAAAATTCAAAGAATAAGTGAGGTGATTCGGGACCGGGGAGCGCGTTTGCAGAGGATTCCGCCGCTTATGCTCGAGATGGACTTGGAAGTAGAAGCTATCCTCAAGACGATTGAGACGATAGAGCCGTCATGAACATGACTATATCGAGGGCTCTGAGCGAAATTCTGTGAGTTGAGCAATAAGACGATTCCCTCGCCGAGCTGGCGGACCAGCGAGCCCTCTGAGGTTTCTACCTACATCGAGCGTGCCGCGACTCCACGTCTGCGGTGTTCTCCGGGTATTCCCCTTATTCTCTTGCTTCGAAAGCGCAATCCCTGATTTTTGATTCGTGATTGTGACTTTGATGTCCGGAAGTGGAAAGAAAAGCCTCTGGCATGCAGCGCAGATCCAGCGGGCAGAGAGATCCTGTCGAGCTCATTTTAAAAGCAGACTTTCCTCCCGGACCGAGTGTATTCGACGCATAGACTCACCAAACATGAAATCAGGTGAGTATCTCCGGGACATTCCTCAGTGTTCTATCCACCTTTACGCTCAGACGGAGCTCTATGTTCCCCCGAGGGCTGAATTTGAAGGTTCTCCCGTTCCAGCTCTCTTGTTCGCTCTTCTTATTTTCGCCTTGGTAGCGTCTGGGGCATTCGGGCAGGAAGCCGAATCCGGAGCTGAAGCCAAAGCTGAAGAAAGTGCCGAAACTCATGAGGCGGGGGGGGCAGCTGACGAGACAGGTTCTGAGAGTCAGAGCGGAAATGACGAAAGCTCAAGGAAAGAGGCGGCAAAGTAAGATACAGGCCCACGCCTCGAGCCAATATCTGATGAGAGCGACCAAGGAGCCGCTCCGTGACCGGCTCGAGACACTGAGCATGTGAGCCGTCGACCCCATTGCTGTCGAGTCTGATTCTATTATCGATGATCTTTCCTAATAAAAGCGCATTCAACGAGCGGTGTCTATCCTCAATGATCATGGCGGGTCGATCCTGTTAGAAAACCCCGGTTAGGGGATGTCCTCACTTGAGCTCACTGGATGAGTCTCAGTCGGCAGGAGTTCAGATTCAAAGATGAGAAGCGCCGAGTTTGGAGCAGCAGCGGAGTGAGTAGAGTAGTCTAGGGAAGCGAATCTCTAGAGTGAGAAGGCAAGTGGCTGCGGATGACAGAATGATCTGTGTTTCTCTCTTTATTTCATACTTCTCATGAACATGGAAGCCGCTTAAGAACATATTCTGGAACAGCGCAAGACATAAATTCCAATTACACATGTCCTTGATTAACCCTTCGGCGGAACTTAGGTTAAGAATACCGTGGTCAACAAGCGTAGCAAAGGCAGCAATTACGTGGGATACTGAGAGCAATTCGTCAGTAAACCCCAACATCTCAACAGCTCCTGTCCCTCTCGAGTCTAGAGTGATCTCAACTCGGAGGGATCAAATCCGAGATCGAGCTTTGGAGATCCCACACCCACTCGCAAAATATCGCGTCGGAGTTCCTTACAACGAACTTGGCTTTGTTCGAAGTTGATCCCAACGCTGAATTCGGGATAATCATACCTGAGGCTCTATTTCGTTCGCTCCGCGAGATCTGTTGGCAGGTATGCGGAGAATCCGGATCTTAAGCCGTTATTCGCCGTCGAAAATGCTCGGTCCTGGGAATGCAGACGGACCCGATACAGTCGAACCCGCTTATAAGAGACCTCTCGGGGAATTGAAAATGGTCTCTTATATCCGGTTTCTCTAATATCCGAGGTACGGTCTTTCGATGAAAAGACCCGAAACATCTCGTTATCGTATGACTCGGATGCCGGTATCATGATCCTGTGGAGAGACGATCATTTTCGGAGCAATGATACTATCGAACTGGCGTGTTATCTCATTCGCGCAGGTTCCGAGAGGAAGAGGAGTCATGGAAGAGCAAACAGAAATTCTACTTGAGACGGTTCTCTCTTATATAGGAGGTCTCCAACATGGAACTCTATGGGACTGGGGTTTGAAAATTGTCTCTTACATCCGGTTTTCTCTTATATCCGAGTTTCTTATAAGCGAGGTT